AGTCGCCGCCGAACGCGTCCTTCATCTTGTCCCGCCGCACTTTCATAAGCACATTATCTGGGTGGCTCTCCTGCGCCTGGACGACCTGCAACCTGTCCACCCTGCACCAGCACCGCCACTCGCCCCCTCTCGAAATGGGGCCGGGGCCTCTCCGAAACAACGTGTTCGACAAAAGGCAAGCCCGCGCGAGCAGGCAACGCCCTTCTGGTCGCCCCCTCCCGCGCCCCTCCTGCGCGCGTCGAACAGCGGCATGTTGTCGCTCCACCTGTCCATGAAGTCCAGCGCCTTGAGGTGGGCCGGCTTCTTTGCCCCCGTATTCTTCGCCGCCCTGTAGTCGCCACTATCGTGAAGCCTTTCTCTTTTTGTCCGCCAACTCTTGTTCTGCCGCCATCAGCGCCTCTGTGTCATTGATATCCATGGCCATGTACTTGTTGAGCAGGATGCCCCATTCTTCTGCGAATTGAAAAGCCTCTGTCACGTTTTCTCCCGTTTTGCTAAAGGCTACAAGAAAGCACCAATTCATGTTGATGCCCTACAGTGGCGCCTTTGCCATCTCATTTGGCCTCTCCACGGCCATATTGTTTCTTACTGTGCGAGACTTCTTCTTTGGACCTTCTTCTTCCGCAAGGAGTGTTTGTGCTGCGTTGATGTGTCCTGAGGCCCGGGCTGCCCACGCGGCCCCTTTGCAATCCTCTTCTGGTCTCGGCAGACCTGCTCTCTCGAAATATACGTCTCTCCTCCATGCAGCGTGCTTTCTTCTTCGCCCCGTGCGTCCCACTCATCCTGCCTCAGCTCCAGCTCGCAGTCGATGCGCGCTCTTCCCCATTCGCTACCTTTGCCTCCTTGGTCTTTTATATATATATAACCAAAAAAAACACCTGGTTCATTTATAGCGTGCTCTCTGTGGCTCTCGATCATGCTTGTTGCAACGTCCGCAGGGCCATCGCTGGCTGCTGCCCGCGAAGGTCACGGGCGCCCCCCCCCCCCCCCTCGCGTCGCGCGCTCCGAGGGACCCCGCCAGGCTCAGTGCGCAACACTGCGCACCTAGGCCAACGTTGAGCCCGATCAGCTGTGGTGGCCGAGTAAGAACGATGGGAGACTTAGCGTATTCCCATCTGCTCTGTTACCATGTCCCCCCCACTGGCCGTGACCCGTCTATACATTGCACGCGTTCTGTACAGCTCGCATAGTACCCGCCCCAGCATCTCTCCGTATATGTAATGGTGAGAGGAAGGGAGATCCGCATCGCGTCGTCATGGTAGATGGCGTCGTCTACCGACTGGGACGAGTGGGCTTGCTGTTGCCAGGGGGGCCAGGGCATTTCTCTGCAACTGAGCGGGCGTGGGGCCTGTGCTTCCTCCCCCGCCTTCCCTAGCTCACGCCGCCGGCGTGGGCCAGCACCGCTGTGCCCTATCACAGGCATTACGACATCGCTGTACGTATCTTTTCACAAAGATCTGCATTTTTCACGCAACCTGGTTGGATCACTTCAGACACAAATGTTTCGTCTGATTCTGGAGCAGACGATTCGTTGACTTGCCCGGCGGACGCCGCCAAGGACTACGCCAGAAGATAGATTAACCCCAAAAAACCTTCAGCTCGAAACTCCAGGGCCATTTCGTAGATCCTACAATTTGGGGCCCAACGTCTGGGTTTGGCGAGGCACCCAACATCCATGCTGATTGATTCTGATATTCTTTCATCATCTGAAAAGGTGTCTCTTCCTCTTAGTCTGCGCGCTGTTGGGCGCGCCAGCTATGCCCAACTGCCATGGCCCCCCCCCCTGGGGCGGCACCCTCATTGCTTGATGCTGACGCCGTCGGAGGTACATTGGCAGTGAATGCCCGCGTCAGCCGCGGAATGGCACTCTGTCCTGGGGCCCTTGCACACCGAGATAACCTCGCTAATTCAACTAACCCTCCTGATCTCTGCGGCGCAGCACTCCGAGAAACCTCGTTAATGCCACTGCCCTCATCCGTCCTCAGCGGCGCCGACGCTGAAGTTCCCGCTCCACCATCCTCTCCCGCGCCGACTTGGGCGCCGCCGACTGGGGTTTCTTGCCACCCACGCAGACGGCCAGCATCCACGTCGCGATCCTCAGGTTGCGGCCCGCGAACTGGCCAAGCTTCGCCATGGTTTTTCCTTCATGTCCTTCGGGGCGTCGCTCTGAGGTTGGGGGGCTCGTTTATGCCGATCTGGATCGTGCCTGAGCCCTCCTCCTAGAAATCCTGTTCGTCCTCGTTCGGGATCCTGTTCTTGTTGTTGCGCGCCCTGTAGCTCTCGCTGACCTTGCACATCTGGGTCGTCTCTGTGATCATGGCATGGCTGTTGTCCTCCAACAGCTTCAGGAAGTCGTTCAGGGTGTCCATTGCTCGATCTATTGATGCTGGGGTTGCCGCTGGATCTTCTGTCTACCAATCCGACGCTACCCCTGCATGCCCTAGATAATCACAGTCCCCGTGTGACTGCCTGGTGGGCCCATCCTGCGCCCCCTGCCCTTCTCCCTGACCTGGTTCCCGCAATTCTGCCCCGCTGCCATCGGCTTCCGAAGTGCCAAATTTCTGACTGGCATGGGGAAGAAGTCCGAGGTCACGTGGCTCGCATCTTTGATCTCTGCAGCCGAGCGGAGGGCCGGCCGCTGGAGTCCGTCGATACACCCTCCAAGGTCGAACTCCTCGCAGTCGTCCGCTGCGCATTGCCCGCGGGCGGGGGGGGGGGCCCCCTCCGCCTTTGCCGCCCCCCCCCGTCGCCGCGGCCGCGGCTGCTGGCAGGCCGCGCGCTGCCTCGGCGCCGGCCCCTTCGCGCCGCTGGTCATTTCCATTTCCTTTGCCGCCCTCGCGGTGCTTCGGCTCTCCCCCCCTCTCCGCGCTTGCTCCTCCTTCGGGCGGGGGTCGTCTCCACGGCGCCGCCGTCTTCCACGCAGTGCGGCCCTGGATGGCGGTTGCGCGCGCGCACCTGAAAGCCTTCCAAGGATTGAGCGCGAAAGCCGTGGAGGGCGCAGACCAGGGAAGGGGGCTCTTATACTGGATGCTTCCAGCAACTTCTGTGTTGCGTAGCGAATCCCGCGGCTCCCCGCGGCCCCCACGACGTGATCGGTCGTTGCTTCTTGACGCGAAAGAGCTTAAGCACCACGAGCACTGATTCGCAATCACCAGGCTGGGAATCAGCGGAAGACTGTCATGCGCCACCCTCCTGCGCCCTGCCAGCGCCGCCGCCGTTGCACAGCGCGCTCCGCGCACTTGCCCCTCTGCCCAAGTTTCCCAGCCACACCAATACTGAGCCACTACTTCGCCTCCCACCGTGATTTCTGGTAGCATTGCATTCCAGGCCTGTGCAGCGCGGCGCAGGAGACTGGAGCCCGCTCCAACCCAAGCTTCCCGATATCTCGTGCCCTTCTTGAACATTGAGATGTCTGATAGCCTCCGCTGGCGCCAGCTTCCGACACCCTCGCTGACCTCCGCCAGCACCTGGAAATCCCTGACTACCTGCTTTGCCCAGGGTGGAGATACTTTGCAAACCCACCGATTTCCTATCTCCCGATTTGGCAGAGGCCGTCCAGCTTCGACGTGCCAAAAATTGCTGCAAGCGCACTGCCAAAGTACCCTGCCACAATAGCCTGCGCATCCTCAGCGCTGTCGAGCAGCGCGGTATCCTCCATCTCCAGAAAGCCTCTTTGTTGGCGTGGCACCTGGTCGTGCCATCTGCTTCTATCCAGCCCATCCTGCTTCCTGCCATTCTCTCCACAACAAAAACCATTGCGCTGTCGAGTGCCTCCAAGCGACGTGCATCCAGCACAAGTGCCGTCGATCCACTCAGGCCTGCTTCCGAAACAAGCGCCTTGAACCTATTATTATCCATCTTGTCGGTAGTACCAGAAGACCAGATGCACACGAATTATAAGCTATACGCATGGCCTCGCACTTCCTCCTGATCTCTCCCGCGCATCCGTGATCTCCTGGTAGGTATGGCCCCAATACTCTCATCTCCCTCGCCAGCGTGCCCTCGATCCTCTTCTCTCTCTCTCTCTCTCTCTCTCTCTCTCTCTTTTTCTCTCTCTCTCTCTTCTCTCTCTCTCTCTCTCTCTCTGTAGCTGCCGCGCGGCCCCGTCTCGCCCTGGGCCTCGAAGGCGAACCGGATGGATCGGTTTGGCTGGGTTCAAGCCCAAACTTCTCCTCTCCAGCTTGCGCTCTAGGCGCTGCGTGGTGGCATTGATCTGCCCTGCAATCCTTCTCGCGCGGGCTCTTGGGCGATCCGAGATAGCCTCGCTTTCGCCGAAAGCCAATTAGAACTGGGGCCCTGGGCGAGCCGAGAAGCCCTCGCTTTGACCAAGCGCCGACTGGCTCGCTAACTCCAGTCGCCTGCGCGGGGTCGGACCCGACGAGGCCACTGCGTGGGTCTCGGCGACGTCGCCCAGGAGCGCGTTGAGCGAGAGGTCGAGCTCTTGTTCGTATTACTGGGCCCACTGTATCATGTGCTGTCTGCATCTCGCCCCCCCCCCCCCCCTTCTTCCTGGCGCCATTGTCCAACGTAGAGGTTGCATGCATCATCGAATTGCCTCGGGCACAAAGTGAAACTCACGCGGGCTCCCAGCGCAGTCCTTGCACGCAGTCAACCGCCGGCGCATTCTACACTCACTGACGCGCAGTGTAGCGCCAAGACAGCGAATGGTAGGTCCTCCTCCTTCGACGCGGCGAAGACTGATTCCAGCAGGAGGTTGCGTTTCGTGCTCGCGAAAGCGTTCGTGCAGTCGTAGTTGCTGGCAATGGTGCTCACCCCTGCCTCCCTTGCTCCCCATTGCGTAGCTTCGACGCAGATAATCGCGCCCCTCCTCGATCAAGTGCTACGCCCTCCCTGTGCCCAGCATGGGTGCTTCGGTGCTTCTCCCCTGCAACGGGTGCCCTTGTGAGAAGCCGTTCCCGCTGAGCAATGCGCGCGCGTGGCTCGTTTTCCTTCGACCCCCTTTTGTTGGATTGCCTTGTTCCGCTGAGAAGGAAATAGACCTGTTCCGGTCCACTGGCGCAGCTGGAGATTGGCGACATTTCATAAGGATGTCCTCCAGCTTGTTCCCGCACTCCATGCTCGCGTCTTTCTCCGACACCGAAGATGCCAGCCCAGCTTTCCCGCATCTCCCCAGGTAGTGCGATTGTTCCTGTCGCTCGCAGTGCTTCGCCATCGTTATTTCTATCTGTCCTGCCCAGCGCCCTGCCTGACGGCCAACGCATTTCCTGTAAAATCGACCTTCCCACCTTGCACTTGTAGAGCGAGCTGTACTTGTCCGAGGCATCCTCGCCAGCTCGCTTCTCCGCCGCCCGTGCTTTCTGCTCCTCCAGCTTCTTGCTCAGCCGCTCAGGGTCTTCCAGGTTGACTGTAGATTCCAATGGCATCCATGCTAGTTCTTCTACTGGCACCCCCCGCGGGGGATAATGCCTCCTCAGCGACGCTTTCCTGCAGTACTTCAGCTTGTCTCTTTTGTCCCTCTCCGCCTGGGCTTTCAGCTCCATATCCAATCGTAGCATCATGTTCCCTGCGATCATCTCGTCGTGCTCCTTCTCGTACTCCTCCAGGTTCACGCGTTCAACTGCCAGCCCCCCCCTCGCGCGGGCGTTTGCCCCATTATTTGATCCATTCCTCTGTGTTCCACCATGTCCGCGCTATTACCTCTGTTTCGGTCCTCTCCCGTTCCTCTGACATTCCACCCTGCGCCTGCGCATCTCGCTGAAGTCGTTGTTCTCGTGCGCCCTCCATATATAAATATAATATATAATTATATATATATATATATATATATATATATATATATATATATATATATGTGAGGCCAGCTTCCTGCGTCGTTCCTTTTCCAGGTCTGCCCTGCGTCTGCGCGGTGCATTTTGCATCTGCGCCAGCTCCTTTCTGATGACCCCCAGTATCTCCCGCGCGTCAGACACTGCCACGCCCGCTCTTAACTTCACCCTTTCTGCCGGTAGGGAATGTCGCGGCAACTGGAAGGCTACCGCGCCCTTGTCCTCCTGCTCCTTCTTGATCGGGAGTGCTTCCGCCATGACATTCCTGCCCGCCCCGCCCCATTTCTTCCGCATCTGGTCCGCCGCGGGGCGCCCCTGTAGCTCTCTCCAATCTTCTCCCGCCGCAGGCCCCCCCCCTGGGCTGCGCTCCGAGAAAACCTCGCCCACGCCTGTCCCGGGAGCTCGACCGGTTCTCCCTGGGTTGCACTCCGAGGAACCTCGCTAATACATCTCCGCTGAGAACTGAAGGGCCAGCCTGGGTCGCGCCCCGAGAAGACCTCGCCAACGCCCCCCCCTGTCCGCGTTGGCTGGGCGACCTGCAGGCGGCGATCGAACGCGCGCAAGAAGCCCGCCCTCAGGCGACCCTTCCTCAGGCACTCCATCAGCATGTTGCGGCCCACTTCCTCGCCTGCTCTTTGCTGGCGGTGCATGCCCGGGAAATGAAATGCATGTTCCAGTCCAATATCCATGCCCAGACAGATGTGGCCCCAGTGCCCTCTCGTTTCTATCTTCTGCGTTGGTTTGCCACCCCTCTCAATGCAGCGCGCCTCCGCGCATGGGAAAGGGCCCCGGCGGCGTCGCTATGCGGTCTATCCTGCTGGCCCTCATCCTTTCGTCTTTCGCGCAGCGGCAAGTGGGCCCACAATCGATGAAAGCCGCGGCAGCTGACGCTATGCGGCGGGCGCGAAAGTCCCTGAGAGCTGCTCCGCTATCTTTCCCCACCCCCTCGGCAACTGGCCCCAGCGTTGCCGCGCGTCGCCCCGGGCTGCGCCCGCTAACCACCGGGCCCCTGCTTTCTGACCTGTGCATCCCCAAGTGGCAGTTGATGTCCTCTTCCGCTATGACACTAGATCTGCCAGAGTCGTCTCGCTTCTCTTCCACCCATTTCGTATTTTTTTCCGGAGATCATCCCATTGTTTGCGCGTCCGCTGTCCTAAGTGCGTCGCGGAGGCTGAGGCGTCGCATGCTCTCGCGCGCAGCCTAGCCCCTGCCACCCCCCCTTGCAGTTGCGCAGGTGGCGTGCGCTGCGCGTGGAAGGCCTCGACTTCCATCGTCTCGCTGGGTGCCAGAAGCGTCGTGCCGCATGACGCACTGATCCATTGCCCCTTCTTTGCCCCGAATCACAGCGCCGCATGATATCTATAGTTCGCCTTTTTCACGGGCCCTGGGCCAGCCCGCCGACGCGCCCCTGTCAGCGCGATCGCATCCCACTCTCGTCGTGCACTGCAAATGTCTTCCAGCCCGTCCGTGATGTTCGCCGCCAGCGGATCCTATAATGCCGATTTCATCCACGCGCATATCGCGACCGCTGCAACCGCAATCCATCTGCCATGCCACCGGGAGGAAGGAGGAAAAACGAGCATCCCTGGGGGCGGTCGTCTTCCGCTTAGCCCGCGCGCCGCGCGCCCTCTGCGCCTCTCAGGGGCGCGGCGTTGCGGTCGACGGCGGCGACGGCGGCAGCAGCAGGTGCGAGCGCGCCCGCCCGCGTCGACCACGACGTTGGGCGCTCCAGATTCCGCGCCCGAGGGGTCAGCAGAGACGATGGCCGCGGAGTCCACCACCGAAGGTTGTAGGAGGTCGAGCCGTTCACGTCAAGCGAGGACGGCTGGGGGTTGAAGGACTCGCCAAACATGTCGCTGGACGGGTCAGCGACGCCGCCCACGCATAGGAGGTCGCCATGACCCGATAGCGCCTTGCTGCAAGGGCGAAGCTGCAGCGAATCACACTGCCGAAACATGAGGGGCGCCTAGCACCACGCGCCCGCGAAGGTGCACATCAACGTCTCCATCCCGCACGCGTTGCCCCCCAAACAGAAGGGCCCCCGCAAGCGGAAGGACTAGGCGGGCGTCGCGAGCAGGTCCAGCACCATGGTCAGCAGCATCGCCCTCGCGACTCAGCCGTCGTTGGCCAGCGCCCTCGTCGGCAGCATCGCCACCGAGTCCCAGCCGTCGTCAATCTCGAACGGGTTCAGCATTATCGCGGTGCACCGCCAGCACCCAAATACACGCAAGCAGCAGCATGAGAGTCGCGACCAGCACGAGTGGATCACGTAGTTCGGGAAACCAGTCGCTTCTAGCTCCGTGCCCGAGGGGTCGGCGCCAGCAGCAGGAGGATGGGCCATATCTTTCTTTTCATAATAAGCTTCAGTATTCGCCTTCGTCTCTTTTTCCTCCTTCTTCACCGTCTGCACTTGCTCACGCCGAATGGCCTCGAACTGCTGGATCTACACCTTGCCGAACGAAACGCAGCAGCCGAAGGACACTGCGGATCTCCACCTTGCCGAACGAAACACTGGACACAACGAGGCAGGGGCCGACGAATCCGCATCGTCTGTCATCTCTGTCGAATGGGAGATCGTGCACCACCACAGTCGCCCTTGTCGTGCCGAGAGCCACCAACAGCGCGAGGAGCCCGGGGAGGGTTTTCACGCACAGGGGAAGGGTCTCTCTCTCGCTCTCTCTCTCTCTCTCTCTCACTCTCTCTCTCTCTCTCTCTCTCGGGCCGCGATGAACCCCGCCCGAGACTGGAAAAGCAGGCAAGGCAACGCCAGGAGGGGCACCAGCATGCGAGCGCCGAATTCCACCACCAGGTTGGATATCTGCAGGCTGAGCTCCAGCCACACGCGCAGCAACACCTTCAGCTGCTTGACGCTCCTCGAAAAAAAGGCAAGATTACGCCTCGAAGTAAAGATCGCGCAAGAAACTCGCATTGTGCGGAACGCCAGCACTTGCGTAAGCATCAGGCCCAGGAAAACGACCAGCAAGACAACGCAGGTAGTCCGGACATTTCTGAACGTGAGAGCTGTCGCAGACGCCCACGGGCAGCATCTGGCACGCCGACTGTGCCGACCGGAACATGGAAACCACTAGCTGCGCCGACTCGAGCAAAGCGGCGACGTCCGCCGACACCGAACCACGAGGAGGAACAATGTCATGCAGAATACGAGGGGTTTTCGCAACGGGCTGCTGCACCCCATCAGCCACGACAGGACGAAGCGCCTCGCGAGGAGGCCGCAGATAAGCTTTGGCAGGAAGATAAGGAATTCCGTGCCTGGCACACCCTGAATGGGAGTTCCCTTTCAACATCATCTTCCGCTCATCGGCAGCGAGCGTCGGCCCAGCCGCAGCAGCGGCGTCGCAAAGATGATGAGACCGAAAGCTGCTGCGGCGTTGAAGGTCTGCATGTGAGTGAAGTCCATGAGCCATTGCACGTGCATTCTGGGCGAGAGGCTCGGAAACAGCGACGAAGCGTTGTTGGAAAGGACGAGGGCGGACGAACACTGGAGACGCACAGCTCGTAGCCGACGAGCTTCGCGAGTGCAGGGCGCTTCGCGTGTGCACCATTTGACCGCGCAGGTTCCACCCCGGCAGGAGAGGCAAGAGACGCCACCGTCAACATGCAAGAGAGCTGGGGAGCGCGCGCCCCCCCCCCCCCTTACATGAACTCTTGAACCAAGATGGCTACGGAGAAGGAGGAGGAGGAGGAGGAGGAGGAGGAGAAGAAACAGGAGAGCAAGCCACCGCACCGCAGATGGGACTCCTCGAAATGAGGATGGGAGGTAAGAGTACACATGCAGAGGAAGAGGAAGGCTGGCGTCCACATCCTCGAAGTCAGCTCCATTCTGGAAGTTGTTGAGGTCAAGCCCCACTAGCTCGATGCCCAGCTCCGGGTATTCGTGGAAGTAGCTGGTGCCGGGCATCCGGAAGTACAGGAAGTCGTCCTAAGCGAGGCAGATCAGCATGAGCAGGAGGTCGATGACAACGAGGAAGGGGACGGGGATGGAGCAGCAGCAGCAGCAGCAGCAGCAAGACTGAGCAGCACATTTTGAGACAATATGTGATTGGTCGATGGCATATTTCCACGACGCGATGACAAGCATCTCGATCATCATGTCGGAGAAAGTGGCCGGGTCAGTTTGGCTGGACAGGCTGGCTGGCTGGGCATACCTGGAGAGGCGGTCCTGCACCACTTCGGAGGCAGCCCGGCAGCGCAGTTGGGCAGGCCTCTGGCTGGACCCCGACCTCCGACTCCGCGGCCTGCTCACACCCTGGGACAGCTCTGTCACCCCGCGGCGCGCAGTGGACACATACGCTCAGAAGTCGCACTATGAGAAAAACTGGGGCACATGACTCGTCGACTCTCTTTGGGGCCCGAAGGTGCCCTGGAGCTCCTGCGTAGCCCCCAAGGCCACCGTGGGATCCGATGCTTCCGTGGGGCACCTCCCGGCAGGCCGGGACACCACTTCTGGGGGATCGCTCCTTCATCCTGTGGCGCAGGGCCCCCCCCCGGCCCGAAAACGACGAGAAACCCTGAGCCTGTTTTCTAGACTCCAGACTCCGGCAAGTTTACAGTACTTGCATGGACGGGGGGGCGGCTGAACCTGAAGCAAGCCGTAAACGACTTGCACGTGTGGAAGTCACGCAAGTCGAAAGGCACTGGCACGCCAGTAATCGTCTGAAGAGGAGCGAGAGGGGGCGGGGGGGGGGCGCGAACGCCGTGCAAGTAAACGCGACTGGATCTGAAAAACAAGCTCACACGCTCGCGTCGTAAAGACAGAACGCTGGGAGGTTGTTGGGACCTCGGCTGAGAAGCTGATGCTGGGGAGAAGGTCGGGGCTTCTGAGGAGCCCATCACGACAGAGTGCAGGCATCAGAGGTCTGGGCTGGGAGCTCCCGAACGATTGCTGGGATTGAAGGGGCCACGGGACACACCAATAAATAGACACAAATGCCAGGATTCCACGCATATTCCCATAATTTCTGGGTTTTCGTCTTCCCCACACATCCCATATTGTCCGGGAAATCGACGATTCATTGTGTCTGTGTGTTTTTCCCCTCCTGGCGGATTTCTGGGAGGCGCCCTGGAGCCGCCCCGGTGACTGCTGGGCGCAACTGCACCTCCATGTGAGCTCCTGGGGGAGGGGCACCCTGACAGCTCCCGGTGGCTCCTGGAACAAAGCCACAAGCCACACATGGCCCAAGACGGCTTCAAAATTTGCTTCAGATGGCCCCAGGACGCCCCAAGATGGCCTCACGATGGCCTCACGATGGCCCCAAGACGGCCTAACGGTGGCCCTGGCTCCCTCAAGGAGTCCCAAAAGGGCCTCAGGAGGACTCCCCCAAGAAACCAAGAGCGCCTCCAGAAGCAACAATCAGTGATTCTCCCTAGGTGTTCCAAAAAATTGTCTGCTTTCGCGCCTTTCCAAGTTTCCGACAACCCGTAGCGGCCTTAGAGACCAGGATGGGCCCACGACGGCCGAAGAGGCCCCCTAGAGGGACCACGGCCGAAGAGGCCCCTAAGAAGGACCCAAGAGGGCCCCAAGACGGCCCCAATAGAACCCAAGGCGGCCCTGGAGGGCTCCAAGACGACCCAAAGGGCCCCGGGAATACGGTCTGACCGGTTTGCAAAAAGGGAAGGGGTGGTCTGGCCGGGGCGAGCCGCAGGTGCCCAGAGGCACATGCTCTAGAAATGCCCCTGGACGATCCCAGACTGTTTCCACACGGCCCCACGAGGCCCCAAGACAGCTTCAAAATGGCCCAAGACGGCCCCAAGACGCCCCAAGATGCCCCAACACTTGGTTCCGCAACGAAATCGCTTGAAGGTTCACTCGCTTCGTCAGTATCGACCCGAACGCAAAGAAAGCGGTGCACCTGAACCCCTTACGTGTGTGGACAGGATAAAGATGGGGAGGAGGCGCGGAGGATTGGGAGAATGCCCTGGCAAGCGAGAGCGGGAAGCGGCGTGGCGTTGGAATCCCTGGCGGCCCCAAGCGGCCAGTACAACAATTCCAGCACCACATGAGGTAGGAATGCGAAGAGGAGGAGGAGGAGGAGGAGGAGGAGGAGGAGGAGGAGGAGGAGGAGGAGGAGGAGAAGAAGGAGGAGGAGGAGGAGGAGGAGGAGGAGGAGGGAGAGGAGGGGCCGCAGCGCTGTGCGGAGATTCTCTGCGGCCCAAGCGGCCAAGCGGCCACTTATCTAAGGCAAACACAAAACACACACGCACACACACACACACACTGGCAGCCCAAGGCGGCTCAGGATGGCTCAGGATGGCCCGGCCCCAAGACCGTCTCACGGTGGCCCTGGCCCCCCGAAGAAGTCCCAGGAGGGCCACAGGAGGACCCCCAGGAGGTGTGCGCGTTCGCGCCTCCTCGGGCTTCCGATGGTCTGAGGCGGCATCAGAGACCTCCAAGAGGGCACCAAGACAGCCGAAAAGCTCCCCGCGAGGGACCTCGGACGGCCCAAGAGGGCCCCAGGGTGGCTCAAGACCTACGAAGGCCCCAAGACAACCCAAGAGGCCTCCAAGACGGCCCACGATGCCCCCCAAAAGGTCAAACGAAAGACACAAGATGGGAAGTCGAAAGGGCTTCGGGAGCCCTTCAGACCCTCACGATGCCCTCAGTACATGCAAGATGACCCCAAGAGACCTCTAAGAAGCCTGAGAAGACCCAAAAGACTCTCAAGAGCCGCCCCCCCTAGAGGCCTCCAAGTGGCGTGCAGAAAGCCCAGCAAAAGACCCTGCGAGGCTTCGAAAAGGCCTCCTCCTCCTTCCCCCCCCCACTCTTTCCAATCGTCATGCTCCATTTCCTCCTCCTCCTCCTCCTCCTTCTCCTTCTCCTCCTCCTCCTCCTCCTCCTCCTCCGCACTGCTCAACGTGCATCTGATCCCTGTGTCCTCATACATAGTCAACACACCAAACAAAAGCAATAACCGCCTTGGTGCCCAGTGTCCAGAAGCAACAACCATTGATTGTCCGAACGTGTGATTATCACGCTCCTCGTCCTCCTCCTCCTTCTGCTGCTCCTCCCCCTCCTCCTCATCATCATGACCATGACCATGACCATGACCATCACCATAACCATCACCATCAATCACCATCACCATCGCCTTCCACATGATCCTCTACCGTCTGCCTCCAAGATGGCCCCAAGACGGCCACAGAAATCTTGGCCCCGAGGACCAACGCGCGATAATCTCGCCCCAACAGTCCTTGCGGCTCGCAATACACCTCAAGAAAGATAGTAGCGACGGATCCGGCGACGACCCCGAATCAGAACAGCCCGACTGGGTTCACGACTGGGATTCTGCTACATGGCACTCTGGCCAACACTCGTTTGGAAGCACGCGAGGCACACCACTGGGTTGCCTCTGCGCCAATACTTCCGTCCTTGGTCGTGTGATAGATGACCCGCATCAGTGCACGTCGGCGGCGCTTCGTCAACGTTCCAAGGACACGTGGCGCACCCGAGCGCTCTGGCCTGCTCATACGTCTTCTCTGCGTTGCACGCGCGAGACGTTACCAGGGTTCCCCGCTCGGTCTGCTTATGCTCAATCCCCAAAAAGATCGGCGGTGCGGCATAAGCCTCAGAATCTCTGGGACTTGGCGGGTCTGGAGAAAGTCTCGGGCGCCGCGGCCACTCTCGCGACCGCTGTGAGTGCGCTCCGGAACGCTCTGGACCGACACACCTTTATCCTACGGCGAGGGCGTTGGATGATGAACCCCTGGATAAGGAATCCAGGGTCTGAAAACCTGGTGGAGCGTCAATTGAGGCTTGGCCCCTGATGTCACCGCCGGCCTCATCAGATAAGGAATCCTCCGGTGTCTGAGACCTCCTGGGCACATTCCTCAACGAACGCCCGGCTGTAGGCCTGCCTACCTCGAGGAAGATCCCGACATCCAACGCCCTCTGCGTTCCGCGACATTGGCCACAGGGCCTCTCGACCCTCATCCCGGGGACAGGCCATAATCTCTTCATCCGGGGCCCAGCACGAGCCTCCCTGGCGGCCCTGCCTGAACCAGCCCTGGCCGCTGCGATCTCCCTGTGACCCCACGGGGCGTGGGAAGGATAGAGCAAGAACAGACAACGTGAGACGATGCTGGCCAGGCCCACGCTCCAAAGGATCCGCTCGGCTGCACGCACGAGGAACGACCCTTCGCGGAGTGACCTTTGGTTTGGCACACCACGGGGCCAAGCCCAAGCATGTAGGCCGCTGCTGTCGCACCGCGCGCAGCGGCCGGCAAGCCGCGCTCCAGAGGTCACTCTTGCCTAGGGTCGATTTTGCGTGTGGCCGACGTGCTAAAGAGGAGGAATATCGAGTAACAAACAACGGCATAACAATAAACTTCGGAAGTCCGCGCGAATCTCTCGGATCTGCAGCAACGGCGCACCGCAACGGGGACCTCGCGGACATTGCTTTTGCCGACGACACGTTGCTCATCGGTTCCAACGGGGCACACGTGGAGGAATTCGCCTCGGCTGTGGCACAGGCTGGACAGGCGTACGACCTCGAGATCCACTTGGACAAGCTACAGCTGCTGCAGTGCCGCACAAACCGACCTCTTCACATATCTGGACACGCGCTGGAGACCGAGGAGACGCTTATGTATCTGGGCACCAGTTTGACGCCAGACGGCAGAATGTCCGGGGAACTCACAAGGCGCATCGGGCTGGCACACGCGGCCTTCCGCGCAGTCCGGCAAGTCTGGAGGCAGTCGTCATCATCCCTGCAGTGGCGGCTGCGTGTCTTCCATGCGCTCATCGAGCCAAAGCTGCTACGCAGTTTGGCCGCAGGGTGCTTCACGAAGGCAGACCTTCGCCGATTGGACGGCTTCCAGGCAAGATGCCTGAGGGTCATCCTGAATACCCCCAGCGCGTACATTTCTCGGATCTCCAGCGCCTCGGTGCTTCAGAAGGCGGGGGGGCGGAGCCTGCCTCCGCGCCGCTGCGGCGAAGACAACCCCGCGCCTCCTCGGGAAGGCCACCCGGCAGCCGGAGGGGCCTGCAATGAGAGACGTATCGTTCTGCCCGGGCAGATCCTTCCGTCCAGCAACGGACCGCTAATGCGACCAAGCGATTAAAAAAAAAAAACGGAAGCGGCACGATTAAAAAACAAGTTTTCCGGGGGGGGCGCGTAGGACACGATTAGGCGCCGCGACGCCGGACGGTTTGTGCCCAGGGCGGCGGCGAAGCGGGCGGCGGAGCCGGCGGGGGGGCCCGGACAGAGTGGGTCCGGACCGTTCTGCCCGACGGGCTGCGCGTCGCGGGCGGCCTCCAGCTGTTGGCAGACGCAGCCGTCGACGAGCAGCACTGGCGCAAGGTCGCCAAGGAGTCTTGAAACAGCCCTTTCCGCCCTTCTCCCTCCCCCCCGAATGTTGCCGGCCGCAGTGTTGCAGAAGTCTCGCCCGCGTTTCCTCCGTCGCCCCCTCGTCGCCCGTCCCTCTTCCCTCCCTCCCTCCTGGCCTGGCCTGGCCTCGCCTCTCGTCCCCGCTCGTCGTGCGTCCCTCCCTTCCCCCCGCGCGTCTTCTCTCACTCCTTGGAGGCACAGCAGAGTTATGCATGCGCATCCACAGCCTCGTTCCGCAGCTTGCAGGGCGGATGCCGTCAAAGACCGGGTCCCAGCCCATGTCCCGTGCACGTGCCCATGGGCTGCCCCAGCCTGCGGCTTGACCTGACCTGGCCTGACCTGCGCTGGACCCCTCTCCCTGGCGCGCGGAGCGCGACAGGAGCGGCGCCGCCAGGGGGGGCCCAGCGCCGACGCCAGACATCCGAGAGGGGCTCCGAGGGTTCATGTGGATGCTGCTGTTGGAGGCCTGGAAATGGCCACCAACACCGACACAGGGGGTTGCCTCCACAGGGAGAAGGTGAACCTAGATTTCGGTGCTGGTGGTAATATTTCCGCCACCTTGGAGGCCAGAATCTTACCACCATCACCGAGATCGGGATCTTCTTCTCCTCGGGGGAGGCACACCGCCGATCTTGGTGTTGGTGTCAACCTCTAGGCCTGCGATGTTCTTCACTGATCGGAAAGAGGAGGAGGAGGAGGAGGAGGAGGAGGAGGAGGAGGAGGAGGAGGAGGAGGAGGAGGAGGAGGAGGAGGAGGAGGAGGAGGAGGAGGAGGAGGAGGAGGAGGAGGAGGAGGAGGAGGAGGAGGGATGAGGAGGAGGAGGAGGAGGAGGAGGAGGAGGAGGAGGAGGAGGAGGAGGAGGAGGAGGAGGAGGAGGAGGAGGAGGAGGAGGGAGGAGAGGAGGAGGAGGAGGAGGAGGAGGAGGAGGAGGAGGAGGAGGAGGAGGAGGAAGAGGAGGGGTTGGGCGATCCTTGTCGTAATTGGTCTGCGCGCACTTCTCGTCGTCCGGGGTGCACGCGCACGGGTCCTGCGATGGAGAGCGGAGCCGCGCCGCCACCCTGATGCGCTCGGACCGTTCGAGTAGGAGACCGACTACATACCCCAAACTAGTTCTCGTCAAATCTACAACAAATGCGTATAATGTTCGTGGATCTACTCATCATTATACTTTTTCGCGGATTCGACGAACATGTCGATGTAGACCCCTCCTCCTCGTACTCCTGTTTTCCAATGGGCCTGTCTGCGTCCGCCAATCCAAGATCGAAAAGGCTCAGCGCAGGGGAATTGGAGGCTAGCGGCGTAGATCAAGCAGGCGAAGCACTCACCACCTTCGGGGCACTCTGGAGTGAGGGAACGGGGCGCTGACACGTGCTGGCCCTTTGGCCAAGGGAGTTTGCCTGATATCATATGTGAGCGTTTTCTGATTCGGCGTTTCGACACTGGGCGGAAAGGGGGGGGAGGAGGGGGTCCTGGCTCCGGACCTCTGCTTGTTGCGACTGTTTGCAAACAGTGCGTCCTGTGGGGGAGACTCCGCCTGCTCGAAACAGGCGCCAAAAACAGCCAAGATCTACTCCATGGGGGGGGAAGGAGGGGGTGCGAGGACCCGCGCCGATCGGCAAAACAATGCATAACAAAACAACGACATGTGCTCGCCGTTGCCTCAATCTGTCAGCGTACCCCCTGCGAGTGGAGGCGTAGTAGACTGCCAAGGGCTGTCCGGTAGGGCTCGGTCCCAAGGAGTGCCCCGGGGCGGCCCCAGAAGGGGCAGAGCCCCCCCGCAGGGCGCAGCCGCATTTTTCACCTTGCCTACAAGGCACAGGGGCGGTCCTTCCCTCACCGCCATGGCGGCTGCGGGCAGCGTTCCGTCCGCCGACGGGTGGCAGAATCTCGAACAAGAGCAACAGCAACATCAGCAACAACAGCAGTAAACATCACAACCGCAGCAAGAACAACAACAACCACAGCAGCAGCAGCAACAACAGCAGCAACACACACAGACAAGAACAACGACAACAACAGCAGCAACAGCACCACCAACAACAAGAGCAGCAACAACAACAGCAACACCAGCAACAGCAGCAGCAGCGACAACAACAACACCAACAACACCACCAACAACAACGTCGACAAGGACAACAGCAGCAACACCAACACCAACACGAGCAATAACAACAACAACCACATCAGCAACAACAACACCAACAACACCAACAACACCAATTACATCATCAACCAAACAACAACAACAACAACAACAACAACAACAACAACAACAACAACAACAACAACAGCAACACCAAAAGAATACACCACGAACAATAACACCAACAACAACACCAATGACAACAACGTGAACAACAACAATCGGTTTAGGAGTGTTCGTTCATATCGGCTCGCGGGCCATCCAACACAGACATCCGAAACCATAGATACCCGCCACCCTAGGGGCATATCTTTCGCACCTGCTTTACCTGCGACGCGTATTGCGCTCAGGCCCTAAGGCAGGGGGAAGTGGAAGACGAATGGAAGGAAGGGACCATGAGAGAGAAAGAGAGAGAGAGAGAGAGAGAGAGAGAGAGAATGAGACAGAGAGAGAATAGCAGGAGGGGGCTTGAAGTAGACAATCCGCGGCATAACCAGACGGGCAGATCGGGCGGCTAGACCCTAACGGGTGGGACGGGGAGGCGGGCCCAAGCGGCCAGGTCGAGCAGGCGGGTTGCTGAAGCGCGCGTCCTGCATGAACCGAAGGGAAGGCGAGAGAGAGCGCGATTCCTAAAAACAAATAGCGAAACATCCACAGCGATCACGTGATTCCTGAGCGTCGAGGGGGCGGCGTCGGGATCAATAAAAAAATCCCACGCGAGCAAGATTTCTCTATGCATTGTGATGTCCCGCGCGAGAGCGCCAATTGAAAATGCATTGCGAGGAAGTGTCAGGCGGGAGTCGTTGTTGTTGTAACTGGGGGGGCCAAAGGCGCAATGCGCCGACACGTCGCTTTCCGTTGTAAAAAACCGGATGCAAGCCCCGGGAGAAGCACAATCGTTGAATAATACAATGGTGACCGAAGGGTCAACAATAATTACTCCTTAGAGCTGATCGCTCAACAACAACAACAACAACCACATCAACAACAACAGCAACACCAACAATCGTTTTAGTACTGTTCGCTTGTATCTGATCGCGGGCAGTCCAACACGTGTGTATATATATATATATCCCAAAACCTCGATACCCCCTTCTCTTCGTCATACGTCGTACATCCTTGGGAATATAACTTTCTGACCGACAGCGCGTATGTGGTGCAGCCCCTACATCCCCGCGAAACAAGTGTTTAACAGTTTAACGAACGTGGCACAAGGATGGGAACCGAAGCAATGTAGAGTCAGACCAGGCGGGGCCCGTCGCATCAAATGACATCCGCCTGTCGATGGTGCGGAAGAACGTCTCGTCTGCATTGTGCGGCGCACGTTCGCCATCCGACTGTGGGAGAAGCCGCAAGGCAGAACGTGGAACCGCCAACGCCAGCGGCCCTGTGAAGGATTTGCTTGGAAGAGCGTCCGTGCATTAAGTGGCATCCGCCTCCCAGCGTCGCCATTGGGCGCGCAAGCCAAGTAATGGCATATCAATAACCTGGCCCATGGTGCACGCCTGCGCACGCTGCCAACATTGAAAGCGTTGCCGTCCGCAGGTCGTTCAAGATGATCGTCTTGTTGATTGTGTTATAACTGCTTCCCCGGCTATGTTGGTGTCGAACCTGTTCGGGCGCGTTCCGATCCTTCTGGCGGCAATTTCCCCATAGCGTAGGCGACCTCTGCCGCTCGGGCAAATGGAATGGGAGCCGCGCAATTCCTGATAAATAAAAAAGAATCCGGACGGCTGCCGCGGTCTGTCGCGGCTTCCCTGGGAGGTCGGGGAGGGGGGGAAAGCGAGGGAAAAGAACATGAGGATGCGAAAAACATGGAAAACGAAGACGGGGGAGGAGCAGGAGGATTAAGAGGAGGAGGCGAATGAGGATGCTGAGGGTGTCTCGGCGGAAGAGCGACAGCGAAACAGTGGCCGGCGATGTGGCGAGAACGCATGTCGTTTTCGTCGTGGTCGTCGGGGTCGCCGTGGTCGCCGTCGTCGTCGTCGTCGTGGTCGTCGTCGTCGTCGTCGCCGTCGTCGCCATCGTTGTCGTCGTCGTCGCCGTGGTCGTCGTCGTCGTCGTCCGCCGTTCCTGGCAATAACGGGTGCGTTGTGGGCCTGGGGCCCAGGGCCCAGCCGTCGTTGTCGGACGCAATCTCAATTGGGCGGGAACGGGCTGACTGTGAAAACCCGCTCATGGCGGCAAATTGTCGATGTCTGGCGAAACTACTTAACGATTGGACGCGGGCGGGTTCAGTGTGGAAATTCATATACGGGACGCGCTCATCGTTGCCCAGGGACCCAACTTAAAGATCGGGCGTGGCAAGTTTTGTGTGCAACATCACACAAGGGACGCACTTCGCGTAAAATTGCGTGCCCCGGCGTGCCCACTTTACTATATGTTCCGCGTTTCCTGCATGGAAAAAAAGGACGGGATGCAGCAATCGTAAAGTGGGAACTGTTTGGATCAAAAAAAATGCTTTGAACTATTCTCAATGAAAACATTCCCCACTTTACGACTGATGTGTCTCGTCGGAATTTTCACACACGAAACGGGCAAACAACATATCGCAAAGCGGACACGCAGGGGCACGCCACTTTACGCGAAGTGCGTTCTGTGTATAACCTTATACACTAAACCCGCACCCGCCCGATCGTGCAGTGGGTTTGCCAGGCGACCTAAAATGCATCCCGTGTGTGAACTTACAGAATAGAACCCGACCCCCGCCGGATTGTCAACACGGTTTATTGGACAACGTCCCACAAGTCCCACTGGTCTCGTCGGTCCCACAAGTCCCACGGGCCTCACAGGTCGAATCAGTCTCACAGGCCCCGCAGGTATCGCAGGTCCCACAGTTCTCGCAAGTCCCACAAGTCCCACAGGTCGCACAAGCCCCACGGCTGCCGCAAACCTTACAGGTCCCACGAAGCCCGCAGGTCTCGCAGGCCCTAACAAGGCCGACGCTTCGCGCAGGTCCCACAGGTCTTAATGGCCCCACAGCTCGCACAGGTCCCGCAAAAGCCCACCGATCCCGCAAGTCGCCAAGGTCCCGCATGTCTCGACAGTACCACAAGTCGCACAAATCCAACAGGGGCACGAGTCTCACACGCCCCAGAAGACCCACAAGGTGGCACGCTAAAAGACGAAAGGGAATCCCGCGAAAATCTAATACTTAGGCAAAAATACCCATCCCCGTGGACAAAGTGTTACACCGCCTGTAAATGTTACGGAAGAACGTCTCGTCTGCATTGCGCAGTCCATGTTGGCCACCCGACTGTGGGAAAAAACCGCAAGGCAGAACGTGAAACCGCCCACGCCAGCGGCCCTGTGAAGGATCAGCTTCGAAGAGCACCCGGGCATTCACTGGCATCCGCCCCCCAACGTTGCCACCAGGCGCGCAAGCCAAAGCATGGCATATCAATAACCTGGCCAATGGTGCACGCCTGCGCACGCTGCCAGCATGGAAAGGCACATCTCACTGAATGATCCTCCTTGGTCGCTGCCTTCCGCAGGTCATTCAAAATGATAGTCCTGTCGATTTCGTTATAACTTGTTCCCGGCTGTGTAAAGCAGGGGGAGATAGGACGGATGGAAGGAAGCGGCGAGGGGGAGGGAGAAGGATGAAGCACGAGAGAGAATAGCAGGAGAGGGGCGAGGAGCAGAAAACAAGTGGCAGAACCAGACGGGCAGATCGGGCGGATAGACCCTCCCGGGTGGGTCGGGAAAGCGGGCCCAGGCGGCCAGGTCGAGCAGGCGGGTTGCTGAAGCGTGCGTCCTGCATGAATCGCGAGGAAGTCTCGAGCGATAGCGCGATTCCCAAATACATCGTGAGGAAATCCATCCACAGCGACAGCGTGATTCCAGAGTGTCGAGTGCGCGGCGTCTGAATACACGGCGAGGAA